GAGATCAGTATGAGCAATCATCTAAATGTTCTTGTTTGAAGGGAAATGATTTTTTTAAACCAGTGTATTTCTTGATTTCTCAGTGGAGTTAGTTCTGTTTCTCTTTTTCTTGTGTTTCACTACATCAGTCAGCTTTCCACATTTCAAACATTGTTCTCAAACTGAGAAGTCTTAGGAGACAAAGCAAGGCAGTTGCTTATTTTAATGGCATTCAGTTAGGAATAAATAATGCAAAGGACTAAGTAAATATTCTAATCTATGCTGCCTGACATTTCAAAGGGACCTAACTTGAGCAAGAAAGTGTGAGGCCACAGGTGTAGACTCCTCTAGACGCATATACTTAACTTGTTTGGTTGTTGCTTTCAAAACCTTGCAGGATAGTTTAGTTCTAACTACTATGTATAAAGACTGGGTTTTTGGTTGATTGGTTGTGTTTTTTTCCACAATACAAGTTACATATCATCAAACTGCATGCCAAAATTTAACATATACTGGAAGTCAATACTGTAGTCTCACATCAAGCTAATCAAGACTATGAACAAAGTTTCAGAGCCTATTAGTGTTCACTTATGCCATAGTCTGACAGTGCTTTGCAAAGCTTCAAAGCAATCTACTTTTTATTTATTTCATGAGTCAGGTTGCAAACAGGTGACAGAAAACTAGATTTTCCAAAACATTAAATTCATCCTGAAATGAGAGAACTTAATGCTTTTACTTCTACATGGTTATCAACTTGAGCTCAACAGAACAAATTGGAACCACATTTCAGTCTACTTTTTCCTGCTTACTTTATAGCTTCCACACTCTTTACACACATTACATATTCTCTCTCTAAGCATATGGTCTCTTTCTCCTTCTGGCATTCTGTAATTCTGCTAGCCAATGAGGTTTGCTTTTAATAAGTATATCTGCCAACTCAAACACCAGAACACTCTTCAAATGTTTCTAGTATGTCTGGAAAGGTAATGAATAACTATTCCAGGTGTCAAAAGTATTTTTTATACCTCCCCCATTACTCATCTATCATCCACACTTGATTTTCACTTTCTAAATTAGTATTTCCCAAAAGAGAAATCTAATATATGATACTCATAATAATCCAAGAAAAAAATTTGTCTGTCACACTAGGATGAAGTTGCACTGCCACACTTGATTAAATAAGGTTGCAGTCTACAGCCCTACCAGAGGGGATGTGATACTGGATCTGATGGTCACCAATGCAAGCAAGCTAATCAGGGACATCAAGACTGGAGGCAACCTGGGCTGCAGTGATCATGCACTGGTGGAGTTTGAAGTCCTGGGGGATACGGATCAGGTAAGGACTAAAGTTATGCCCCTGAACTTTAGGAAAGCAGACTTCCAGCTCTTCAGGGAGATAGTCAGTGGACTCCCTTGGGAGACTGCCCTCAGGAACAAGGATGTGGAACAGAGCTGACAGATCTTTAAGGAAGTCTTCCATAGAGTGCAAGAGCTGGCAATCCCCAGGAGCAAGAAATCGGGCAAGGAAGACAAGAGACTGGCATGACTGAGTAGGGAACTGCTGGTCAAACTAAAGGGAAAGAAGCAAATGCACAGACAGTGGAAACAAGCTCGCTTGCATTGGTGACCATCAGATACAGTATCACATCCCTTCTGGTAGGGCTGTCTATTACCTGGCTCAAGAAGTTATTCTGCATGCATTCCAGGAGTCTCCTGTATTGCCTACAGCTCACCGTGCTACTTTCCCAGTAGATGTCAGAGTGGTTGAAGTCCCCCAGCAGGACAAGAACCTGTGAGTGCAATGTCTTCTGTAACTGGAGCAAGAAGGCTTCATCAGTAGACTCCCCTTGGTCAGGTAGCCTTTAGTAGACACCAATCACAAGGTTCCCTTTGTTGCCTCAGTGTCTGATTCTTACTCGCAGGCTTTCAACCTACTCATGGTTGTTCTTCAGAGACAACTCTTCACACTCAATCCACGCCTTAATGTAGAGGGCAACCCCCCTGCCTCTCCTTCTTCCCCTGTCTCTTCTGAATAGCCTGTAACCATCAATAGTCGCACTCCAGTCATGGGATTTGTCCCACCAAGTTTCAGTTCTAGCAGCACTGTGGTTTCCAACTCCGTCTGTTTGTTGCCCTGCTGTGCTAAAGTGTGACAGCTACATTAAAATCTACCTTTACTACACAATTACTTCTAAAATCTACGAAAAGCTAAAAATCAAAAAAATTCTGAGGCATCAGTCCCTCCTTTAAAGATGGACAAAACTTCATCTTGTCCAGTCTCTACTACCTATACCTAACATTATATCAAAGAGGTGACCAACACCTACAGCATCGGTTCATACAATGAGTTATTATACAAACATTAACTATGTATATCACTAATATAAATGTTTTATCCAGGTCCAGTTCGGTAACCATGAAGTAAGTTTGTGGACGATGTCTCCAAAACCCAATGAGACATCATCAAAGTTACCTGATGTAGAATTTTAGTTTACTTCTGAATTGCAACCAAATTGTTATTAATTCTTCCACTTTGGTCTACATAAGAACAGCAACTGGTGTTGATGACCATACACACGCCTCCTTGTGAGGCTAGTAAAAAGTTGAGGACCATTCAGCTTTGTAGTACTACATGAGACAAACTATGGACTTCCTCTTGTAAGGCCATGATTGCATTTGAAGCCTGATTTTGAATGAGTTCAATGACAGCCGAGATGTTAACAATTGCCTTTTCTAATTCACTTACTCCTAGAGAAGGAAAAAGAGCCCTAACCACACTGTGAAAAGTCATGGGATGTTCAACAAGGGGATTGTTGGTTCTTTTTACCCTTTTTGGATAAGTTCGTATCCACCCTCTTTGTTTCTCAATTTGATCAAGTACCGTTATGTTTGGGATTACAGCCCCAAGGGCACAGTCCCGATCTTTATCAAGGGACAAAACTTTCCAGGTTTCATTTTCACAGATCCAATACCATCCTGAACCCTGTGGGGGAATCATTCTCTGGGGTGTCTGTGCCAATCTTATTAGAGTTTCTGGTCCTAACCCTATTTTGGATCTGGTTTTACTACAAAAGGGGGGGGAGAATGATCTTTCCTGTAGTATTAATAACCATTCAGGGATCTGCATAAATTTCTTGATCAAGAATTATGTTGCTTAGGGCTATCGGCAAGTAGGCCTTAGTAACCCATATCCAGGTTCCTGGGATGGGAAGCCATGGGTTTTTCTCAAGTCTACTGGTCAAGTCAAAGTATGTCTTATTCAACAAAATGCCTATTAAAGGTCAATTGCTATCCTCATCATCAATTGCTGGCATTTGAGTACAAATCCAGCAGTCATTTTTGCGGAGGATCTTAGATACACTTTGGACTAGGGTCACATGTAATTTTTGGTTCCAAACCTGAATCATTGTTACTGACTGTACAGATAATATGTATGGAACAAACAGTCAAAGCCACATATTCTTCATCCATATCAGGCTCTGTTTTGCTAGTTGTTCCAGGAACTGAAGTTTTCTTACCTCTGGAATAGTGAAACAAGGGTCCTTTGCCAGCAACTTTGACTGCAGTGAGAGAGGTGGGCAGAACTTGGAATGGTCCTCTCCACTTGGCTCCCAGAGGATCACTGTCCCACCATTTAACATAGACCCAGTCTCCAGGCTTGAATTGATGAGCAGGGATGTCCAATCCTATGGGTCTGCATAACTCAATGAATCTCTGGAGTTTCTGTAAAGTAGAGTCTAGAGTCATTAAATACTTTTGTAAGTCAATTTTCCCCCTCATGTGAATGTCTCCTGGAATATGCGGAGCTTGGCATGGTCTCTCATATAATATTTCATAGGGACTTATGTTATCTCTCTGCCTTGGTTGTATGCAGGTAGATTCTTAGCAAAGCTAGAGGCAAAGCCTGAACCCATGACATAGATGTTTCCTGACAAATTTTGCCAATTTGCATTTTGAGGGTACCATTCATAAGTTTGACTTTGCCACTCGTCTGAGGTCTGTAGGGAGTATGCAAGTCCCAAACAATTCCCAGAACATGACAAACCTCCTCAGCTACTGTTGCAATAAAGTGTGTCCCTCTATCAGATGACATTCCCAAAGGAACCCCAAATCTTGGAATTATATGGTTGAGTAAAGCTTTTACCACTTCCCTTGCTGTGTTAGTGCGACAGGGGTAAGTTTCAGGCCATCCACTGAAGGTGTCAACCAGTACCAGTATGTACTTGTATCCCTCCCTAGGTGGTAACTCAGCAAAATCTATTTGCCAATAATCTCCGGGAAGGTGCCTGGCCTTTGTTACCCCTAGCGCCACTCTCTTGTTTGTATCAGGATTGTTTTGCCTGCAGATTTCACATTTACTTACAATGGATTGCATGACTTCGGTCATACCTGTCCCTATTACTGCCTTCTTCAAATGTTTTAACAGATTTTCTCTTCCCCAGTGGGTAACCTCATGTTCCCGCAGAGCTATCTCCCAAAGGACTTGGGCTGTGATCACAACCTGTCCTGTAGGTGTAAAAGTCCATTCACCTTCTTTGATTTGAGCATTAAGGGACTTAATTAACTGGTGGTCTTTCTCACCATATTTTGGGGTGAACCCTGTCAGATCGATTTCCTTCTGTGATATTACTGCTAGGATACCTTTTCTTGCAGCCCCTTTTGCTACCTGGTGGGCAAAATGATTTCCCAATTCGGGAGTTGTTTTCCCCTTTTGATGAGCTCCGCAATGCATGATAGACACCTCCTCAGGTTTCCAAATATTCTGCAGGAGTGCATGGATTTGGTCAGCATGTTTGATCCCACTGCCTTGAGCAGTTAATAGCCCTCTCTCTTTCCAGATGGCTCCATGGGCATGTACAACGCTGAATGCATATTTAGAATGAGTCCATATATTTACCTTCTTTTCTTCGCTCAGTTCTAGAGCTCTTGTCAGTGCAGTCAGTTCTGCTTTTTGGGGTGATACATCTGTTGGCAAGGCCTTTGCCTCGATTACCTCGTCCTTGGTTGTCACTGCATATAAGTTTGTTTTAAAGAGCCCAAGAAAATAAAGACTTGGATCATAAAGATAAATTCATCTTTTTCAGGGGAGAACACCGATTGGTTTCACCCCCCGTGTACCAAACTTGTCTTTTTTTTCTATGCAACTGGAAAAGTGAAAAGTTCTGGTAAAACATATTAAAAATATTTTTTTGATTTTGTTTTCAGGCAACTATCAGCAAGACAAGAGGGCATGGTCTCAAGTTGTGCCAGGGGAGGTTTAGGTTAGATATTAGAAAGACTTTCTTTACAGAGAGGGTAATAAGACATTGGAATGGGCTGCCCAGGGAAGCAGTGGATTCTCTGTCCCTGGAGGTTTTTAAGAAGTAACTGGATGTGACACTTAGTGTCATGGTCTAGCAACCGCGGTGGTAGTGGATCAAGGGTTGGACTTGATGATCTCTGAGGTCACTTCCAACCCAACTGATTCTATGATTCTATGATCTTGTCATTCGCTTACCGTATACAGTTCCCAATTTGGATTTTCCAGAGGCATGTCCTTCAGGTGTGGTCTACTGGAATAGGCCTCCTCGATGGTCTGTAAACAGTCATGCTTGGGCACAGTGTTAGTCAATGCTGAGGACAGAAACATAGCAGGGTTTACAATAGATGTTGTTTTCAGGGTAACATCATCCTGTTCCAACAACACAGCTTGGTATTTAAGCATTCTGCTAGGGGACAACCAGTGACTCCCCTTTTCTTCAAGTAAAGCTTGGACTGCATGGGGTACATACACAACAATGTGCTGTCCAAGGGTGAATTTCTGGACCTCCTGGATCAGGATAACAGTTGCTGCTACAACTCTCTGTAGTAGGGGGAAACAGTTTTTCCCCCTGCAGTTATAAAATGGTAAAACCCCAGGGGGTGGTGACCCTTGAAGTTTTGAGGGTTTAGTCAATGAACGCTTCTGCAAAATATAAACATATCACAAACAGAATGGAAGAGAAGTTTAGTTGTAGTTGTAGTTTGGTGGTAGAAGAAGGTAGTCATATTCTGAGGCCACAAGGAAGGGGGCTCGGAGCCCCTTGGGACCTTTGGGGCCCCCTAGCCCCTGGTTGGGGGGAACTGCAGGGACCTGGAACAGCATAAAGCTGGGCTAGGTGCCTGTAGTTGAAAGCTAAGGAAGTTTTCTCCACTGTGAGTGAGTAGAGACAGAGCAGCAGCAGCAGAAGCAGCGTCCAGAGATTGTGGTTAAAAACCGCAGAGAAAAGACTGCCAGATAAAACAACTGCTACACAAAAGACTCAGAACACTTGTGCTCCCAACCGTTTGTAGATAAGGTAAACACAGACACTTGTTTCCATAGAAACCTCATGATACATTGAAACGAAACACAGACACAGGCGATTGCCAGCTTTTGCAACATAAAGCAGTTTACTCGGTGATAAACTCTGCCTGCACAAGGCACACAGGGAAAAACAAAAAACCCACACCGCACCCCCTGCACACACTGCTGGTAGCAGTACAACACAACATAGTAACAGAAACTCAGAGAACATACCGGGGAAAGGGACGGGAGCCGGGAGAACACAGTCGCTGGGAAGGGACAGAATTGTCATGCAAGTTCCTGACCTATGGACCCACAGCAAGTAATTCTGTTACAGCAATGGGGGGGCTAATTCAGCGTACCTACCCCATTTCGCTGTGGATGACCAGCAACCACGTGACCCGGTGTGGCCACAGCCATTTTCCCCCCCTCACGACCCAAACTCTGACCTTTCTCTTCTGACCCAGGTGCAGCCCCGCCCCACCCACAGACACGAAGAGGGAGGCAACCCCGCCCCCTACTCACCGCCTGTACTGCCCACCACCCCCCCACAGAGAACCGGTCTCACCGGGGCAACAAGGGGGGAGAACTGGGAGGGATTGGGGGAGAAATGGGAGGGATGGGGGGAGGGGGAGAAGGAGGGGGAGAAAGAACAAAACATGATTCCAACGGGAGGGATCAAAAGGGCAAATGGGGAGAAGTCAGTTAACATGTGGGAACAATGTCTAGACAAGGTAATTCGTATGGAAAACCTGAATGTTAATCAGGCATGCCCAGACGATATTAACCAAAGCCAGTCCCCTCAGAGTCCAACCCTGTATAGGGCTACAGAGAACCTGAGGCATTTGATAAGAGGTTCTGGTCTGTCTTTAACCAATATTTTCAAATATTTGGAGACATTGAGTTACATCTATCTTTTCACCACATATGACTGGGAAGAATTGGTAAAATTAGTTCTCAGTAACACCCAATATACAGTTTGGTTAACTGATTTTCAGAAAAATTGTTCTATTCATATTAAATACCCACAGGCAAGCATCACGGCACACCAATTAAGCAGAGAAGCAAATTATAATTTAGATCCACAATCAAAGTACCATAGAGAGATAGCCAGGCAAACCCTAAAAGCTATGGAAAGCATTCTCACTGCAGATCAAGATGATCATCTGTCCCCCATTAAAGAGTTACAAAGTTACACTGAGTTAAATTTAAGATGTGTAGACCAGCTGCAGTCTGCTTTGAACAAACAAATTGAATACAATGAAGCCAGAGAGATGCTGTACAAGCATTTGGTTTTTGAAAGAGAAAATGCAAACTGTGAAAGAGTTTTGCAGAACCCTCCTGCAGGGGAGAACTGTGACTTTATTGAGCTGGTGCAACCCTACCAAAAGGCTAGCTCTGAGAAGCAGCTACCTGCCTCTTTAGCTGCAGCTTTAAATGCCCAGATAAGAGTACAGAAAGAAGTCAGACACACAGCTAGTTGTATTAGTTGTGAAGAAATAGGTCACTCTCACGAAGATTGTCCTTGGAAGCCCCTAATAGCAACATTCCATAAACACCCTAGCAACAGAGAAATGACTGAGTTATACCAAAGGTGTCATAAGCAAGGCAAAAGATGTGCTACAAGCATTATACTGCTTGTAGGAGCCCTGCTTGCTGTAATCCTTTGTGGTACTACTTTTCATGTGCAAGAAAGGAAACAAATTAAGGCAAACCACAATATGCCAATAACCAGTCCCCAAAATACCTGTGTACCCTGTACCCCAAAGAAAGGTGACAGGTGGAAAACATTGCAAATGTTAAGAGCAGAACGCGCAGTCAAAAAACATGCAGAAGCCTTGCAGATCGGACTGTCCCTACCTATAAGGCTTCTAGCAAATTGGCCACGAGTGGTAACTGATTCAAAAAACCATTCCTTTACCATTCTCCTTCACCCGGAAGGTGCCCAGAAACCTTTCTTTCCCATCATGGTTTTAAACAGTGCACAATCTATGCAAAGTCACTGCTGGGCTACCCTTCCTCAGGGGATGCAAAATACCTCGATAAAGTATCAGACAACCATAATACATCATTATGCAGATGACACATTAATAACCATGACCACAAGAAATGAACTGCTATTTGTTCCTGCTGCTTTAACCAAAACCACCCAAGGTGCAGATCTTCAGGTTGTTTCAAGAAGAATCCAACAACCACAACTCTGGACTTGCCCGGGACGAGAGAACACAGCAAAAAAGTTCTACACAGCTGACACAACTCGAGGTAAAAAACATTTATATTTACAGGAGTTGCAGAAGCCTCAGAGAGTTACCAATTGCTTAAAACCTGTTTTAACCATAACCATAGGGGACCTATACCCTCTCTTTATGTTGCTAAGGGAGAACTTCAATTTAAAGTCTGACAAATCGTTAGCTGCAGAGGCAAACCAAATGTTAGAGAATTATACCAAGGTGATAAAAGGCAAACAGAACAACAGAGATGCTGAAAGGCAATTCTGCCTAGTTCTTGTTTCCAGCAGGTATGAAGCATTGCAGTTTGTTTCAGTGAGATCAAACTGAGAGAAGCCCACTGTTGGTTCTAGAACAGCTTTTTCTGTCATACCACACCACCTAAAATCTGTGTAAACTGCTAATATGTTTGCAAACTTGTCATTGAAGGCAGAGCACGACGGAGAGAACTGGACGGAAGAAATCCTACCTTTACCAACATTCCAGCTTTGAAAGACAATTTGGATAAGATGACAACTGAGGACGCCGGATTTTAAGATGCCCTGGCAAGTTTTAGTGGTAATATTTTAATTCATCTCCTTAAGCACAGATTGTGGCAGAAATCTGCAATTTGCCTTTAAAAGCCACACCAGATGCAAAACTGAACCAGTGAAAGGCCTCAGGGCCTTCACACATGCATCTAGAAAACCACAAAATGCTGCAATGACTTGAATAAATCCTGCCACAGAACAAAAATTACAGGCCATGAACCAAGTTTCTGTATAGTTCTAGAACTGATTGTCATTCATATTACCTTGAAAAGTTTTTAAACAATCCTCGGGTGTTATGATTGTGCTTATTATGCTATAAGGTTAATATCCCGTCTAGAAAGTTAATTTCCTTGAGATATTGTTAACCCTTACCTGTTGTTTGAAATGCGTTCTGTTTGGTTCCTGTGAGTTACAAAAGGTATGATTTCTATATATATGTACACAAATCACATCCTGACACGCCACAGACAATAACTGACAGTAACTAAGAAGCTGCTAAAGCAGCAATGTTTAACACTATACCCAGAGTTTTAAGGCAAGCAATTGTCTCATTCATTACATCAGAATACAGGTTCTCTAAAGAGACCATTCAAAACAATTAATAAAAATTACATCATCAAGGTATGCTCACACTGTCAGGAAATCTCAGAAAACATTAACCCTAGCTGGCTAATGGCAAGTGAGTTCTAGCAAACAGATATGTACATATCTGAATTAGACATGTTGAAAATGTACATGCAAATAGATACACATCCACAAAGCATAACTGCTACTACATCCACTAGACAAAACACAAAGGTGTAAAACACATGAGTTAGTTGCTTAGCAACCTTGATACACTAAAATGGATTAACATTAATAATAACCAGCTACTTCCTATCAAATAGGAAAATTCTCATGTCACAAGCATTCCACATTAAACCATAAAACAGCAAAAGCACATCACATTTTGAAACACATGCTAAATTTAAACAAAAGGGGGGAGAACCAGTGTAACCTGTAAGAACATCTGTAAAAAACTATGTATGTTATCAATTTTTGAGTTGTGACAGTGTT